GCGATTGAACTAACAACACTTTATTTATCTCAACATTTCCACTGTACAGTGCACAGCCTGGGCTGTGAACTCCTAGAGCGGAAAGGGTAAGTCCAGGCATTTCCCAGGCTAGAACTCTCTTGACCACACCTTAGACAAAGGTAAGAAGCGGGTCAAATCCAATTGGTGTAGGCTGGCACACAGCAGGTGCTCTGTGATTGGATGGAATGACAGAAAGAGGCAGGGTCTCTGGGCACCCCCCTACTCCAGGCCCTTCTTCCTGGCGGCTTGAGGCTCCAGCAGCTGGATGGGTCCCAGGACGATGTCGACCTTTTCCTGGTAAGAACTCACAGCTCTTTTGGATCGTACCACGCAGCCCTGGTAGCACCGTGAGGAGTAGTCGTAGGCCCTGCATACCACCATCTTACAGCGCAGGTAAACAGACGGGAAGCGGTTCAGGAAGTGGAAGGAACGGAACCTGAAGCGCACGATGTGGGGTGACGGCACAGAGTAGGTTTGGTAGGTTTCATCCCTCACGCACCTGCAATGGAAGAAGAGTGGCCGTTGGCTCTCTGCGAGGTCCTTCCTGTGTGGGTCACTCAGGGGCTCCAGGTGAGGGGGCCCTGGGCACACCCCGGTTGTACAACAGATCAGTGCCCGCTATGGGGTAGACTCTGAAAGCCACAAATGCCTCCAGCGTTCCCAGGTGGACAAGCACAGTTGGGTCAGGGTGATCCCACAATGACTGGGTGCTCAAGGACCTGGTGAGTCTGGGAGGCAGCCAGGACTAATGCCAAGAGACTGGAGTGGTGAGATGACTTTGCCTCTCTTCCTGGTCTCTGGGCCTCTTTGGTTGCTCTTGTGTCCCAGCATCTTCTTCCAGGCTCCTCTCTGCTGAGCCACCCCAGCCTGCACTTCCCACACGGCCGGCTGAACTCCTCCTCCCCTCTGGCCCCTCACTGTAGTGGGCGAGATAGCACCCACCCACCTGTGCTCACTGTGGTGGGCGAGATAGCACCCACCTGTGCTCACTAGGGTGGGATTTCCCGTGGTGTGACAGAAGGGGCAGGGAGAGTGCTGCCTAGGGGGCTGCTGTGACCTGGACCAACTCCATGGTCAGTGTGGGACCAGTTTCCACCAAGCCTGTCCACTGAACCAGCACACATTCGATCAGTGCTTACCAAAATGCTACTTTATGATGACAGTGGTGTTCCAGCTAGATGCAGAGATAATGACCTAGAACCCTTTACTCTATCACCATAACTTCTTCTGGGAGACAGCAGCTACTGAGATGCTGGGTCTATAGCATAAAGCCAAGAAATGCCAGGCACCCTGGCCAGGAGCTACAGAATGGGGAAAAGACTCATACACCCTGGCGTCCCAGGGACCCTTCAAGTCCAACCACCTCACCCGAGGGCTGCTCCAAGGAGGGCAGCCCAGGCTGGGCCCCATCAGAGCCCCACCTCAACACCACTGGTCTGCTCTCTGCCCCCTTGGGTCCAGTAGGAACCAGAGATCATGAGACTGCATTCCTGGGCAATGAAGGTCATAAGACCTCCTGTGGTGCATGCTCTGTGCCCAGACAGCATTCTCTGTACCCTTGCTGCAGTGTACACTCTGCCCAGCACCCCATCTTGTGCTCCAGTGCCCTCATGGTGTGGGCACCCCTAGTGCCTGCTGATGGGTGAGGGAACTGGCCCAGAGGGGTAACACAGTGAGACTTGGATTTTCTACCCTGGTTTCTTCCTTCATTTGAGTCCTTTTAACTCTAAAGCTAGGTTATGATCACTTGGTGTGTAATTCAGCTTAAGTTACTAACTCAATTTGCTGGATGACCACAGATTAGGGGTCCAATTCTCCAGCTACCATTCACTCCATGTGTTTGCTGGAGAGGACCCACAGACCACACTGCCCTGCTAATCAGCAGCATGGTCCCAGGACCTAGAAAGTTTCTCAAAAAGCAAGTCACAGGAGGGGGATACGCGCAGCAGGCGAGCTAGCTAAGCTTGAACATTTGGAACTTCAGTGAACCCCATGCTGCAGTTCTCAGGGGAAGGGTTAGCTGGGAAGGAAAGACAGCTCTTACCCACTCCGGATTAGGTCGTACGTCACGGATGAGAAGTTGTAGGTTGGTGATGCCTCACATGTGTCCACAAATAAGGACAGGGAGGCATCCGGATGGATGACTTGCGCCTGCAGGTAGAGATTCTGGTCCAGGTCCACATAGTAGGGGTGACTGTTCACGGGGTACTGGAAGGAGGAGGACGTGTAGAAGGAGACGTTCATGTTGAAGTTGCCATACTGGATCTCCTGGAGCTCGACGGTGTCATTGGTGATGTACATGCTGTTCACCCAGGTGTCCTGCAGCATCTTGCAGCTCATGTGGATGTGCAGGTCCTTCTTCCTCTTGATGATCCCACTGGAAACAACTGCACTGAGGAAGTTGGAGTAGATGATGGTGTCGTTGTCCACCTGGGAGAGGCCAGTGGGAGAGTGGGGTCAGGCAAACATCACTCACTAAGGGAACCTCATTGCCAATCAGGATAGCACAAGAGGACGTGGACCCCACCAGACCCCAAGACCCTCCTGCAACCACACAGGGTGGGATGATCCGTGGTTGCTAGGACCCAGCTGGGTGTATGGCTTAAGAGCTTCTCCTTCCCCTCTCCCCTGTGCCCTCTACCAGGGAATGGGACCAGTATGGGCCAGCTGGAGGAACTTTTATGGAAAATGGGTGTTCTATATGGCCGTGGACCTGCCACTTGATGCACTGACTTTCATTCTGCACTAACAGTCTTTCTGGCTGGCTACATCCTCATTGTTGTTAGGGATTCTAGGAGAGACATTCCCACACATGTGTGTATAGGGGTGGGGGGCAGGGATGGAGGATTCGGTAGTCACTGTTTGTTGCTTTGATTGTGACTGATTGGTAGCTGTGGCAGCTCAGCATCTGAAGCCACCAGAGCCGGAAGCCATGGAGATTCACAGTTGTACCTGCAGTAGGTCTTGATGCCGGGATGGGGCCTTCCCCAGCTTACGTGGCCACACAGAAGCAATTCCCGCACATTCCCGTGTCCATTGCAGTGGAACCATTTGCTACTGGACTTTTTGCCAAGCAGCCAATTCTTGGCCCCCTCTCCTTCCAATGTGTCCATCACCACTTTAGAGAGGCCTTCCAAGGCTGCAGGACTGAGCTCCTGCCTCACCATAAGGCTAAGCATGATGCGACCAGCAGTGTCACTGGTATCTCAAAGAGTTCAGGGAGTGAACAAAGCTACAGGGGCGAGGGCCTGGCAGAAGGACTACACAGAATGGAGGACAAGCCTGGAATAATCCTGCTGGAGAAAGGATGCAGATGGACAAGGCCCCCCGAAGCAACAAGACTCCAAAGAGGGGTGTCAGCTGGGACACGGTTAGAATCATCCCCCTCCCAGATGCTACGATGCCCAGAAGCAAACTTCTCCCAGCCAGGCAATGTACAAGTCCAGCATACACTGATGCTTGTGTCGGATGGGTGATGAAATAGCATTGCAAGAAACAAAAGTCCTGGGCCCGGCACAGTAGCCTAGTGGCTAAGGTCCTTGCTTTGCATGCGCTAGGATCCCATATGGGTGCGAGTTCTAATCCCGGCAGCCCCGCTCCCCATTCAGCTCCTTGCTTGTGGCCTGGGAAGGCAGTCAAGGATGGCCCAAAGCCTTGGGACCCTGCACCCACAGGACTCTGGCTTCAGATCAGTGCAGCTCCAGCCACTGCAGCCACTTGGGGAGTAAGTGAATCAATGGATGGGAGATCTTCCTCTCTGTCTTCCTCTTTGTATATCTGACTTTCCAATAAAATAAAACAAATATTTTTTAAAGTCCTAAAGGACATTATGATTAAAGAGACAGAGAAAGAAGAAGAAAGAGAGAGAGAAAAAAGAAAAAGGAAAAAGGAAAAGAAAGAAAAAGAAAAAAGGAAAAGAAAAATAAAGCAAAAGAGAAGCCTGGCATGCTAGTTATGAACACTGCCAAGGGCAGAGCTGCATTCCTCGCTGTCTGGGTGAGTGAACCAAGGCTCCTTCTGAGGCTGGCACCTGGTCAACCCAAACACAACTATTCCTCAGGATGGAATGTGTTGGGGGAGGGAGCGAGCTTCTGCAGCTTCCTGCACTTGCAGAGCTCTGAGAGTGTCCTTTCCCAAAACTTGAGAAAAGTGAAACCTCTACAGGAGACGCAAGGGCCTCGGTGCTCCTGACTACCACCCTCATCTCTCTGACCATCAGCTTCCCAGGCTGGACCGGGGCCCCGGGTCAAGGTCAGCCCGGCCTCCTGGGGTGTGCAACAGCCTACACAGAGGGCCAAGGTCTGGGGAGGAACTCTGGTGGTGGACTCAACAGTTTCCTTGTCCTTGGAGGAGCAGTTCTGCTTCTGGCTCTGAACTCTAAGAAATGTTTTCGGCTTTATAAACCAAGTAACTTTCATCACCTTCTTACTCTTTATAAGTCAAGTTCAAGTGCCTTCAGTTAGAGTCTGTACAAGAACAAGGACATTCTCTGCTGTGTTTTGTGGTCAAGCTCAAGCTCAATTCTGACTCTGTTCCAAGCCGTGAGCATGCAATGCAATTCCCGTCTTAACCAGAGCAATTCTGGTTCTGGATGAATGCTCGTTCCCAGGCATCTGCAGGCTGGGTTGCAGGGAATCTTGCAGGGGCTGACCCACACAGGCTGGGCCTGGGGTCCCTGTCCTTCTCAGGAAAGCTCACTCTCCTATCCTGGCTTTGCAGTTTGTGAATATGTGGTCTTGGGCAGGTGGCTCACCTTTCCAAGCTTGCGTTTGTTTGTAATAAAAAGGGAACAGATCTGTGCAAAGACTTGCAGAGACCCAAGAGTGTCAGCTCAGTGCTGGCACAGCTGTTAGCTGCTGCTCACACCATTATGAAGTCTGAGGCTCTGGCCCAGGAGCACTCAGAGTTGCGGAAATGAGTGAAACACTGGCCCTGCTCCTCAAGATGCTTCCTTTGGTGGGCAATGTGGGTGTTCACATAAGCAGAGAAAGGAGACCACAGTGCATGCTGCCCACGTCCAGTGAAGGCAGAGGAGGCAGGACAGCTGCATGGTTTGGCTGTTCCCCGCACCAGGGTCACTCAGATGTCAGTGACCATAGGACACATGAGTGGAACAGGGAGCAACATGATCCCAGACTGACTCCCATTGATTCAGTTCATGATCAGCCAGCAAATGGAAGATCTCTCAATCTCTATCTCGCTCTGCCCACCCCCCATCTCCCACCCATCTCTCTCTCACTTTCAAAATAAACAAATGAATCTTAAAAACAAATCCACCCAGACAGTTGGTCACCCGAGGTGGTGACAGTTCACAGTGGTCAGTGCACAGGACGATTTACCATGCTCCCCAAAAACTTAAACCTGAGGACCTTCCCTGTGCACTGGCCTCCTCCGGGGCTGAGCAACATGCTTGCACAGACGTATTCATGTCAAAGTTACAAACGATGGCTTAGTGGTGCTCCTCTCCTCACCTTCCCTAATGATGAAGCAGAAACGCTTCAAACTCCACAGAATCAGAACTACACCAGGGGCTGTTTATGCCTTCACTGATGCGGGGGGCAGCCTGTGAGTGTCCTCGCTGCTGGACCCAGCCAGATGAGTTCAGTCTGCTCAGCTTCCTTCTGCTCCCTCCTATTGAAATGCCACATCACGGTGTCCAAGACTTGTATCCTGATGACACCAGCATCGTAACTTGAACCCCAGAGGCCTGGGCCACTGTAAGGAAGTCTGGCAGCTAGGAAACAGAGTAGGAAGACCCTGGCTTACCTGCTTGATGGTGCCACAACCAGTGTAGGGAATCGTGAAGATGACCTGGCTTGCCGTGATCTCACGCCGACACTGGTAGCTCACGTTCTGGGCAGCTATGTTAAGGTCCCAGGCAGAGTAACCCAGGGATTGGAGGTAGGATATGCTCACGCTGGCTTGCATGTGATTGTTCAGACAAAGCAGGCCTGATGGACAAGAGCAGAAAGTGTATTTAGTGCCCCCAAGCCATGCAAATCCTGCTGGGAGCTCCTCCCACCTAAAGATGCTTGCATGAAGATGGCTGAATGGGATGACCAGCAGGTGGGATGGATGCAGAGGCTCTACCTTGCTGCCACTCTGCCACCATAGCTCAGGGCAGCCCCAGCCTCATGCAAGCCCAGCTGGGGAACACATGGAGTTTCTCTGATGTAGATGTTAAATAATGGGAATGCTTCGACAAGGTAATGTTTATTAGTAAAATACAGGAACTCTGTCACAAATTATGAAAGAGGTCATGAAATAAGGTCACCTAGCTATGGGGCATGTCAGTTCCTCAAATCCTGACTATGTGAGAGTTTGGATGTCACCCTGCCCAGCCCTTGATTGATCTATGCTCAGTCCACATGACAGCTCAAACAGTGCCCATGGCATCTGCTGGGAGAGGCTGAGGAGTCTGCCCTGCCTGCCTTCAGATAGAAGCCAAGCATCTTGGGTCTCAGGACATGGCCAGTGTCTGTATTCTGCAAAGTCCACAGGGCTTCAAGCCAGTTGGTCAACTCTGCCTGTGACAGTATTCTAATTAGTTGACAAGAGCACCGTCCTGTGTTGTCTATTGGTTCTTTGCTGACCACACTGAGGCTGAGGTACTGTCCGTCAGCTGGTCTTTGGCCCCTCCCTGTGCAGCCAGTGAATGAGGGCACACTGTTCCAGGTCCCTTTCAGCAGGTGATCCAACATGGCCACTCTACTTTCTTATTCCCCAGCCTCAAGCAGACCAAGCATCAGGACACTCAACGACATCGCCACTGTGACCCATGCCTCCCCTCGGGGGACTCACTGGTGCTTTCATTAGAGCGGGTGGAGTAAAACTCCACCTGGAACCCTCTCCTGGTGACACTGCCATCGCTGATGAAACGAATGGACAGGAAGTTTGAGGATGAGGTGAAGGAGCCCCGGACCCCGTCGCAGACACGAGCGATGAGAGGGGAACTGCGGTGGGGGCCATCAAAGACTTCGATGTAATCATGCCTACAGCCACTTTCCAGCCTGCAAAACAGAACAGGCAGTCTTGGCTTCATGCAACCAAACTCTTCCCCTAGAGTTTCATCAAGTGTTAGTCCTTGTATTATAATCCCAAGGAAATCAAAAGAGCATGTCCTTTGTGAAAATCCCCAGGTGGACAACTAAGACAGAGACTACTAGGGCCACTGCAAACACAAACCAAGAGAAGAGATGGTTTTGTTCAGCGATGAAATCATGGCACCACCCACCTCACTCCTTGTCCAGGCCGCTAGAAAACCCAGGAGTCTCTTTGTGGTCAGCGTGGCCACCAGCCCATTTTGCTTTTGGTGATGTTTCCCTTACTTAGAGTGATGATTTCCACTTGTAACTAGAGGAGGAGAAGCCTGACCCCATCAGTAGCCATCCTCTCCCATCCATGGGCATCCTCTGCTTGATCAGAAATCACCCCAGTGATGGAAGCAGGTCATCCAGACAGCTGCCCCTCCCACCTCTTCCGCTTTGCAGGGGAAGGTGCATGGTCCCCGAGGTAAGCTGCTCTGCACTTGCGCACTTACTGGACATCGCTGAAGGTCACAGTCACTTGGTAGTTGTTTGGAACCTCAATATCCCACACACATCTAGCATTGTTTGGATAGTTCGCAGGATAGAAGGGGCTGGAAAAGCGCCCTGAGGATTGGGACAGGAGGCCTCCACAGGAATAACCTGCTGTCAGGACAAAACAGATGTTACTTAGCTCACAACAATGGCAATTCCCAAGGCACAAGGCCAGTCAGGGGTGGCCTGGACCTGGACCACCCACAGAGGGTCAGGGACACTGTGTGTACAGGAGCAAGTTCTTGTCACTCTGGCCACCCGTCTACATCACCAGTGATACAGAGGGACAACAACGAGGTCCCCTGATATCTCTGCCACGGACTTAGCTCTGACTCAGAACTTACTATGTGAGGTGGGCTGAGAGTATAAGAAGAAATTGCTTGCAAAGAAAAGATCAGAGTTAGTTTCCTTGCATTCTCAACACCAGTGAAGGAGAGATGGCAGGAGCTCCCAGGTCAAGGATGTTCGGTTGTAAGGATGCATGCTCACAGGGGCAGTGACAGGAACTGAACGAACAGGGTCAGCTGTGGACACACCCAGGACAGAGTTCTCTGCAGACATCACAGTATCCCAACAAGTCCATTTGGCTCTTTTTGGTGACACATTCATGGAACTGTCAAGATCTGGCTGGTCCCTTGCCATATGGTGCTTAATTCCCTGTGTTCCCACACCTGTAATTCCTAAAGTCCATGATCTCAGACCTAAGAACAAGGTCATGTGGGATAAAAGGGCTCCTATCCTGGACATGTGATGGGGACCTTCCTAAGGACCTGCACAGGATCCCATTGAACAACGTGTCCAACCTCAAAGACTCATCTTTCAGAGACCCATCCTCCCACCCACAAAACCACCAACAATGTCAATGAGAGCACAATGGCAGACTCATCCTGTCCTTCATAGCCATATAGAAATGGGGGAGTACTCCCTTCTCGTGGTATAATCTATGATGACAGTAGGCGATGCTGACGTAAAGGCAACAGGGAGAAAACAAGAATTAGATTAAAAGGGAACACCCAAGATCTACAGCTCTCTGAATCAGGTTGGTATATCAATAGCAGAACCTACATAGGTACTGCTCATTCCTCTGGTGTCTGTTAGTAGCCTGAGCTCAAGGTTCAACCATGGCACAAAGGGCCTGCTGGATGCAATGACCCCACCAATCTTTGCCATTTGCAACATTCTCTACCCAGACATAACAACTCTGCATGCTCTGTTTGTTCATTATGTACTGACTGACCCTAGGAAAATCATCACAGAAAACCATTACATATGTCACCAGTCAGAGAGGGGAGGGTAGCATCAACTTATTGTGCAACAAAAGATGCCAAATATCCCTTCCCTTCTTCTGTCACCTGTCACTATCTGCCACTTGTAGCATTTGAGGTTGAAAGAGTAGGAGAATTGTAGAGAAGGACAGGGCATACTCACTGGATGCAGATGTTGTCGTGGTTGGGGGACCTGTCACATAAAGAACATGAGACATTAGCATGCAGTTGTCCACTTGGGAAACATGCTGTATGAGTCTGCCTCATTCACCTTCACCAATGATGGCCCTAATGCCCCACTACACAGGCATTTGCAACATTCTCTATCCAGACATAACAACTCTGCATGCTCTGTTTGTTCATTATGTACTGACTGATCCTAGGAAAATCATCACAGAAAACCATTACATATGTCACCAGTCAGAGAGGGGAGGGTAGCATCAACCTACTGTTCAACAAAAATTGCCAAATATCCCTTCCCTTCTTCTGTCACCTGTCACTATCTGCCACCTGTAGCATTTGAGTCTGGAAGAGCAGGAGAATTGTAGAGAAGGACAGGGCATACTCACTTGGTGGAGATGTGGTGCCTGTCACATAAAGAAGAACATGAGACATTAGCATGCAGCTGCCCACCTGGGAAACATGCTGTACGAGTCTGCCTTATTCACCTTCACCAATGATGGCCCTCATGCCCCATTACACAGATGCCCCACGTGCTCACTCCAGTCCTTTCATCTCAAAGGCATCATTGCCTTGCACATGCCCACCACAACTGGCACTTCAGTGCTGCCTCCACCCATATGTCCTCCATTGCAATGATATCATCACCTTTGCAGGGACACCCAGAGGAGAGCAGGAAACTGCTCAAGACAACAGCCTCTTTGCAGGCTAGCCTACGTTCCATGTGGACCCTAGAGAAACACTAGGTCATTGGGCTCCATCACGGACCCTGTCTCTCTCCCAGGGCACCTCCTCCTACCTGTCATCCCTGCATCCTTTCCCACTCCCCTCTCCCAGTTCCCAGGAATCCTAAGGGCATGATGGACATGGGCAGCTTTCCTCTGTGGGGCTGCAGTAGCAGCCAGGGTGGGAGCCACCAAAGGAGATGAGATACTGCCAGAGCACAGCACCCATGGGGCTAGACCCCAACAAGGAGGCTGGGACAAAGCTGGTACTACATGCAGAACTCCTCCATAACCGGAGAGCTTAGCACATCCCTGGTGAACAAGTTAACTCCAAGAAAATGTTAGCCTCAGCACTGGACACAGTGCACCAGCTGACCTGACTGTGCTTCCAATCTATACAATCCAACACTGATATCGTGGTATGTGGTCGTGGGCCAAACCCAGAACCACAAGAATCACGAGGTGTGGACCAAGGACGGCAGTGAGAATGTGGCCAGCAATTGGTGCACTGAGAGTAGTTAGTTACATGGATTCTCACGTTCATGGGCCATGATGGAACCACTTCACAGACAGGCAGTCAACAACGAGGGACCCACCTGAGCAGATAACACCTGCATCCTCCCCGTGTCCGCAGTTGTGGGACAGCCAGCCACGGTGCCCACAATCCCATAGGTACGACTCCTGCCCTGAGCAGGACACATCATCCAGCACAATTGGTCCTGTGCCCTGGCCGAAGCGGGCATTTCCAGGGGCAGATATAGCATAGCCACAGCCCAGCTGCCTGCAGACCACGTTGCCATCGTTGATGTCCCAGCTGTCATCACACACGGTGCCCCAGGAGCCCTGGTACAGGACCTCCACACGACCTTGGCACTGGTCCCCTCCATTCACCAGCCTCAGGGCCAAAGGAGTCTCTACAGGGAACACAGACAGGTCTCATTGGAAGCTGTTTGCTAACAACAAGATGAGCCTCTATGATTCATGAATGGCCAAACCACTTCCCAGGAGTCAGGTCCCTCATGCAGGGCAACATCCACACAGACAGACACACAGAAAGTCACTTCCTGCTTCTCCGCCACACTGGAGACTCCTGCTCACAAGGAGTGCAACACTGAGGTTCCATGGAGACCACGTTGCCCTCCATCTCTCTGAGCCCACAACGTTCTCTTCTCACCTACAACACCTTAGCCATCCACCCACTGTCAGTGTGCTACCTGGCTCATCGCAACTATTGCCCACCCAACATCCGCACAGAAGACAAGGGCAGTGGAGGAGCCACCCACAGGAGACTCCCTGCCCTCCTCCAGACATGCCCTCGGCCTCTTCTCCAAGCAGACAGCGCCCTGAACATCTGAGCGTATTTGAAGGGGCAAAAGACAGAGAAATCATGCCTGAACTAACGCTGACTCCAACAGAGGGTCAGAGGGTGTGCACCACAATCAGCAAGGTCATGTCCACCTTCAATACCAAAAGGTCAATGCCCACTGACATTTCTCTCAGCTTGCAAGAGTTGTCGATGATCAGGAAACCAGATTAGGTGATGCAGAATAAGGTGAGAAAGTCAGAAAAGCCAGAAGAGATGGATCACTTAAAGGCCACACAATGCACATGACCCAGCCAACACAGGCAATGGCATAGCTGGGCAGAGACCAGGTAAACTCCAGGGGAACACCCCGCAGAGCAGCAATCCCACAGGCAGACAGGGTGCAGAGTTCTGCAGGTGGAGGGCACATTCAGGTGCACTGAGGACCTCCTAGGGTCACAAGGACAAACCAACCACCAGAGCAAGAAGGCATTGGGAAGCAGCCAGAGACTCCTTACGGCCTTAGAGTGAGTGGAGAGCCCTCCAGTGGAGCTACTCAACACCCACCTCACAGCCACCATCTGTCTGTCTAAGGGCTTCTAGAAACAGCTTCCATGCATACAATCAGCTGGCACAGTGACATCATCACACACAGGGGCCCTGATGCAGGACCTGCCCTGGGCCCTGAACCCACTCACATCCACTCACGACTCTCACTTCCACACTTGATATGTCCACTGGAGGAAAACAAAGGACACATCACCATTCCTGTCTTGAAGTGAAGGTCTCAAGCACATTGTGTTCATCAGCACATTACTGGTATCCAACCTGTTATGCCCTGTCACCCTTTGATACTTGTCCACATCTCTCTTCATTCTGGCGACAGGAACAAGGACACCACGTCCTCCCAGGTCAGGATGCTAGGCTAGTGAAAGCACACATGATCTTGAGGCTGTGACAGGAGCTGGATCGGCAGGAACAGCCATGTGCACACCCAGCACAGAGCTCTGTACACACATCACAGCACCTGTGCACTCTGCCTATGGGAGGAACCGTGGGGACAGCCGTAGGGGACTGTCCAGGTCTGGCAGAGTCCCAGGTCAGCCTTGGCAAATCACAGCCTGTTCCCTATTCCTGTAAGCCCTCAATCCACAGCCTCATAGGTAAGAAAAAGCCCACGTGTGATCACTGAGGTTTCCCATCCTGGACCTGTGATGGGGACCTTGCCTGAGCACCTGCACAGGTTCACACTGAACAAGGTCACCAGCCTCAAGGACCTGTCTTCAGAGGCCCATGCTCTCACCCACCCAAAGAGCAGCAATGTGAATGAGGGCCCACTGGGGGCCTCATCCTCTCATCAGCAAGCCTGGCATTCCTTCATGTTGACACAGTGATTCCTGGCAAGGCGGGACACTCACCTGTTGTGGTAAAATCTGTGGATGTTGTCGTGGAAGGCCACGTTGCTGTAAAGGCAATAGGGAGAAAGGTAAGAGTTAGAGCTGAAGGCAAAGAGCCAAGATGGATCTCTCTGGATCAGGCAGATGTCTCAACAGTGGTACCTTCGCAGGTCCTGCCCCTTCCTCCCGGTGTCTGTTAGCAGCCTGAGCTCACAAGTATGGCCATGGCATTGGACATAGCCTCTGCTGGACACTCCTAGGTCCTCAAGTCCTGGATATTTAGAATATTCTCTGCCATGACATCACATCTTGTCTGCACTTTCCAAAATACTTCTACATTGATTATCCCATAGAACACTACCGACCAACACACTAGGGATCAAAGTATTGGGAAATGCCTGAGTTAATGTTAGGAATGTGACATTGAATGATGGCTCACCACAGGATGCCAAATATCCCTTCCCTTCTTCTGTCACCTGTCACTATCTGCCACTTGTAGAATCATATGAGGCCTTGCAGTATTTGAGTCTGAAAGAGTAGGAGAATTGTAGAGAAGGAAGGGCATACTCACTTGGTGCAGATGTTGTCGTGGTTGGGGGACCTGTCACATAAAGAAGAACATGAGACATTAGCATGCAGTTGTCCACCTGGGAAACATGCTGTACGAGTCTGCCTCATTCACCTTCACCAATGATGGCCCTCATGCCCCACTACACAGGTGCCCCACGTGCTCACTCCAGTCCTTTCATCTCAAAGGCATCTTTGCCTTGCACATGCCCGCCACAGCTGGCACTTCAGTGCTGCCTCCACCCATATGTCCTCCATTGCAATGATATCATCACCTTTGCAGGGACACCCAGAGGGCGAGCAGGAAGCTGCTCAAGACAACAGCCTCGTTCTGGGCCAGCCTACGTTCCATGTGGACCCTAGAGAAACACTAGGTCATGGGGCTCCATCACGGACCCTGTCTCTCTCCCAGGGCACCTCCTCCTACCTGTCATCCCTGCATCCTTTCCCACTCCCCTCTCCCAGTTCCCAGGAATCCTAAGGGCATGATGGACATGGCAGCTTTCCTCTGTGGGGCTGCAGTAGCAGCCAGGGTGGGAGCCACCAAAGGAGATGAGATACTGCCAGAGCACAGCACCCATGGGGCTAGACCCCAACAAGGAGGCTGGGACAAAGCTGGTACTACATGCAGAACTCCTCCATAACCGGAGAGCTTAGCACATCCCTGGTGAACAAGTTAACTCCAAGAAAATGTTAGCCTCAGCACTGGACACAGTGCACCAGCTGACCTGACTGTGCTTCCAATCTACACAATCCAACACTGATATCGTGGTATGTGGTCGTGGGCCAAACCCAGAACCACAAGAATCACGAGGTGTGGACCAAGGAGGCAGTGAGAATGTGGCCAGCAAATGGTGCACTGAGAGTAGTTAGTTACATGGATTCTCACGTTCATGGGCCATGACGGAACCACTTCACAGACAGGCAGTCAACAACGAGGGACCCACCTGAGCAGATAACACCTGCATCCTCCCCGTGTCCGCAGTTGTGGATGAGCCAGCCATTGTGCCCGCAGTCCCATAGGTACGACTCCTGCCCTGAGCAGGACACGTCATCCAGCACAATTGGTCCTGTGCCCTGGCCGAAGCGGGCATTTCCAGGGGCAGACATAGCATAGCCACAGCCCAGCTGCCTGCAGACCACGTTGCCATCATAGATGTCCCAGCTGTCATCACACACGGTGCCCCAGGAGCCCTGGTACAGGACCTCCACACGACCTTGGCACTGGTCCCCTCCATTCACCAGCCTCAGGGCCAAATCAGTCTCTACAGGGAACACAGACAGGTCTCATTGGAAGCTGTTTGCCAACAACAAGTTGAGCCTCTATGATTCATGAATGGCCAAACCACTTCCCAGGAGTCAGGTCCCTCATGCAGGGCAACATCCACACAGACAGACAGACAGAAAGTCACTTCCTGCTTCTCCGCCACACTGGAGACTCCTGCTCACAAGGAGTGCAACACTGAGGTTCCATGGAGACCACATTGCCCCTCCATCTCTCTGAGCCCACAACGTTCTCTTCTCACCTACAACACCTTAGCCATCCACCCACTGTCAGTGTGCTACCTGGCTCATCGCAACTATTGCCCACCCAACATCCTCACAGGAGACAAGGGCAGTGGACGAGCCACCCACAGGAGACTCCCTGCCCTCCTCCAGACATGCCCTCGGCCTCTTCTCCAAGCAGACAGCGCCCTGAACATCTGAGCGTATTTGAAGGGGCAAAAGACAGAGAAATCATGCCTGAACTAACGCTGACTCCAACAGAGGGTCAGAGGGTGTGCACCACAATCAGCAAGGTCATGTCCACCTTCAATACCAAAAGGCCAATGCCCACTGACATTTCTCTCAGCTTGCAAGAGTTATCGATGACCAGGAAACCAGATTAGGTGATGCAGAATAAGGTGAGAAAGTCAGAAAAGCCAGAAGAGATGGATCACTTAAAGGCCACACAATGCACATGACCCAGCCAACACAGGCAATGGCATAGCTGGGCAGAGACCAGGTAAACTCCAGGGGAACACCCCGCAGAGCAGCAATCCCACAGGCAGACAGGGTGCAGAGTTCTGCAGGTGGAGGGCACATTCAGGTGCACTGAGGACCTCCTAGGGTCACAAGGACAAACCAACCACCAGAGCAAGAAGGCATTGGGAAGCAGCCAGAGACTCCTTACGGCCTTAGAGTGAGTGGAGAGCCCTCCAGTGGAGCTACTCAACACCCACCTCACAGCCACCATCTGTCTGTCTAAGGGCTTCTAGAAACAGCTTCCATGCATACAATCAGCTGGCACAGTGACATCATCACACACAGGGGCCCTGATGCAGGACCTGCCCTGGGCCCTGAACCCACTCACATCCACTCACGACTCTCACTTCCACACTTGATATGTCCACTGGAGGAAAACAAAGGACACATCACCATTCCTGTCTTGAAGTGAAGGTTTCAAGCACATTGTGTTCATCAGGACATTACTGGTATCCAACCTGTTATGCCCTGTCACCCTTTGATACTTGTCCACATCTCTCTTCATTCCGGCGACAGGAGCAAGGACACCACGTCCTCCCAGGTCAGGATGCTAGGCTAGTGAAAGCACACATGATCTTGAGGCTGTGACAGGAGCTGGATCGGCAGGAACAGCCATGTGCACACCCAGCACAGAGCTCTGTACACACATCACAGCACCTGTGCACTCTGACTATGGGAGGAACCGTGGGGACAGCCGTAGGGGACTGTCCAGGTCTGGCAGAGTCCCAGGTCAGCCTTGGCAAATCACAGCCTGTTCCCTATTCCTGTAAGCCCTCAATCCACAGCCTCATAGGTAAGAAAAAGCCCACGTGTGATCACTGAGGTTTCCCATCCTGGACCTGTGATGGGGACCTTGCCTGAGCACCTGCACAGGTTCACACTGAACAAGGTCACCAGCCTCAAGGACCTGTCTTCAGAGGCCCATGCTCTCACCCACCCAAAGAGCAGCAATGTGAATGAGGGCCCACTGGGGGCCTCATCCTCTCATCAGCAAGCCTGGCATTCCTTCATGTTGACACAGTGATTCCTGGCAAGGCGGGACACTCACCTGTTGTGGTAAAATGTGTGGATGTTGTCGTGGAAGGCCACGTTGCTGTAAAGGCAACAGGGAGAAAGGTAAGAGTTAGAGCTGAAGGCAAAGAGCCAAGATGGATCTCTCTGGATCAGGCAGATGTCTCAACAGTGGTTCCTTAGCAGGTCCTGCCCCTTCCTCCCGGTGTCTGTTAGCAGCCTGAGCTCACAAGTATGGCCATGGCATTGGACATAGCCTCTGCTGGACACTCCTAGGTCCTCAAGTCCTGGATATTTAGAATATTCTCTGCCATGACATCACATCTTGTCTGAACTTTCCAAAATACTTGTACACTGATATCCCATAGAACACTACCGACCAACACACTAGGGATCAAAGTATTGGGAAATGCCTGAGTTAATGTTAGGAAGAGTGACATTGAATGATGGCTCACCACAGGATGCCAAATATCCCTTCCCTTCTTCTGTCACCTGTCACTATCTGCCACTTGTAGAATCATATGAGGCCTTGCAGTATTTGAGTCTGAAAGAGTAGGAGAATTGTAGAGAAGGAAGGGCATACTCACTTGGTGCAGATGTCGTCGTGGTTGGGGGACCTGTCACATAAAGAAGAACATGAGACATTAGCATGCAGTTGTCCACCTGGGAAACATGCTGTACGAGTCTGCCTCATTCACCTTCACCAATGATGGCCCTCATGCCCCACTACACAGGTGCCCCACGTGCTCACTCCAGTCCTTTCATCTCAAAGGCATCTTTGCCTTGCACATGCCCGCCACAGCTGGCACTTCAGTGCTGCCTCCACCCATATGTCCTCCATTGCAATGATATCATCACCTTTGCAGGGACACCCAGGGGACGAGCAGGAAGCTGCTCAAGACATCAGCCTCGTTCTGGGCCAGCCTACGTTCCATGTGGACCCTAGAGAAACACTAGGTCATTGGGCTCCATCACGGACCCTGTCTCTCTCCCAGGGCACCTCCTCCTACCTGTCATCCCTGCATCCTTTCCCACTCCCCTCTCCCAGTTCCCAGGAATCCTAAGGGCATGATGGACATGGGCAGCTTTCCTCTGTGGGGCTGCAGTAGCAGCCAGGGTGGGAGCCACCAAAGGAGATGAGATACTGCCAGAGCACAGCACCCATGGGGCTAGACCCCAACAAGGAGGCTGGGACAAAGCTGGTACTACATGCAGAACTCCTCCATAATCGGAGAGCTTAGCACATCCCTGGTGAACAAGTTAACTCCAAGAAAATGTTAGCCTCAGCACTGGACACAGTGCACCAGCTGACCTGACTGTGCTTCCAATCTACACAATCCAACACTGATATCGTGGTATGTGGTCGTGGGCCAAACCCAGAACCACAAGAATCACTAGGTGTGGACCAAGGACGGCAGTGAGAATGTGGCCAGCAATTGGTGCACTGAGAGTAGTTAGTTACATGGATTCTCACGTTCATGGGCCATGATGGAACCACTTCACAGACAGGCAGTCAACAACGAGGGACCCACCTGAGCAGATAACACCTGCATCCTCCCCGTGTCCGCAGTTGTGGTTGAGCCAGCCATTGTGCCCGCAGTCCCATAGGTACGACTCCTGCCCTGAGCAGGACACATCATCCAGCACAATTGGTCCTGTGCCCTGGCCGAAGCGGGCATTTCCAGGGGCAGACATAGCATAGCCACAGCCCAGCTGCCTGCAGACCACGTTGCCATCATAGATGTCCCAGCTGTCATCACACACGGTGCCCCAGGAGCCCTGGTACAGGACCTCCACACGACCTTGGCACTGGTCCCCTCCATTCACCAGCCTCAGGGCCAAAGGAGTCTCTACAGGGAACACAGACAGGTCTCATTGAGGCTGTTTGCCAACAAGTTGAGCCTCTATGATTCATGAATGGCCAAACCACTTCCCAGGAGTCAGGTCCCTCATGCAGTGCAACATCCACACAGACAGACACACAGAAAGTCACTTCCTGCTTCTCCGCCACACTGGAGACTCCTGCTCACAAGGAGTGCAACATTGAAGTTCCATGGAGACCACGTTGCCCTCCATCTCTCTGAGCCCACAACGTTCTCTTCTCACCTACAACACCTTAGCCATCCACCCACTGTCAGTGTGCTACCTGGCTCATCGCACCTACTGCCCACCCAACATCCTCACAGAAGACAAGGGCAGTGGAGGAGCCACCCACAGGAGACTCCCTGCCCTCCTCCAGACATGCCCTCGGCCTCTTCTCCAAGCAGACAGCGCCCTGAACATCTGAGCGTATTTGAAGGGGCAAAAGACAGAGAAATCATGCCTGAACTAATGCTGACTCCAACAGAGGGTCAGAGGGTGTGCACCACAATCAGCAAGGTCATGTCCACCTTCAATACCAAAAGGCCAATGCCCACTGACATTTCTCTCAGCTTGCAAGAGTTATCGATGATCAGGAAACCAGATTAGGTGATGCAGAATAAGGTGAGAAAGTCAGAAAAGCCAGAAGAGATGGATCACTTAAAGGCCACACAATGCACATGACCCAGCCAACACAGGCAATGGCATAGCTGGGCAGAGACCAGGTAAACTCCAGGGGAACACCCCGCAGAGCAGCAATCCCACAGGCAGACAGGGTGCAGAGTTCTGCAGGTGGAGGGCACATTCAGGTGCACTGAGGACCTCCTAGGGTCACAAGGACAAACCAACCACCAGAGCAAGAAGGCATTGGGAAGCAGCCAGAGACTCCTTACGGCCTTAGAGTGAGTGGAGAGCCCTCCAGTGGAGCTACTCAACACCCACCTCACAGCCACCATCTGTCTGTCTAAGGGCTTCTAGAAACAGCTTCCATGCATACAATCAGCTGGCACAGTGACATCATCACACACAGGGGCCCTGATGCAGGACCTGCCCTGGGCCCTGAACCCACTCACATCCACTCACGACTCTCACTTCCACACTTGATATGTCCACTGGAGGAAAACAAAGGACACATCACCATTCCTGTCTTGAAGTGAAGGTCTCAAGCACATTGTGTTCATCAGGACATTACTGGTATCCAACCTGTTATGCCCTGTCACCCTTTGATACTTGTCCACATCTCTCTTCATTCCGGCGACAGGAGCAAGGACACCACGTCCTCCCAGGTCAGGATGCTAGGCTAGTGAAAGCACACATGATCTTGAGGCTGTGACAGGAGCTGGATCGGCAGGAACAGCCATGTGCACACCCAGCACAGAGCTCTGTACACACATCACAGCACCTGTGCACTCTGACTATGGGAGGAACCGTGGGGACAGCCGTAGGGGACTGTCCAGGTCTGGCAGAGTCCCAGGTCAGCCTTGGCAAATCACAGCCTGTTCCCTATTCCTGTAAGCCCTCAATCCACAGCCTCATAGGTAAGAAAAAGCCCACGTGTGATCACTGAGGTTTCCCATCCTGGACCTGTGATGGGGACCTTGCCTGAGCACCTGCACAGGTTCACACTGAACAAGGTCACCAGCCTCAAGGACCTGTCTTCAGAGGCCCATGCTCTCACCCACCCAAAGAGCAGCAATGTGAATGAGGGCCCACTGGGGGCCTCATCCTGTCATCAGCAAGCCTGGCATTCCTTCATGTTGACACAGTGAGTCCTGGCAAGGCGGGACACTCACCTGTTGTGGTAAAATGTGTGGATGTTGTCGTGGAAGGCCACGTTGCTGTAAAGGCAACAGGGAGAAAGGTAAGAGTTAGAGCTGAAGGCAAAGAGCCAAGATGGATCTCTCTGGATCAGGCAGATGTCTCAACAGTGGTTCCTTCGCAGGTCCTGCCCCTTCCTCCCGGTGTCTGTTAGCAGCCTGAGCTCACAAGTATGGCCATGGCATTGGACATAGCCTCTGCTGGACACTCCTAGGTCCTCAAGTCCTGGATATTTAGAATATTCTCTGCCATGACATCACATCTTGTCTGCACTTTCCAAAATACTTATACATTGATATCCCATAGAACACTACCGACCAACACACTCGGGATCAAAGTATTGGGAAATGCCTGAGTTAATGTTAGGATGAGTGACATCGAATGATGGCTCACCACAGGATGCCAAATATCCCTTCCCTTCTTCTGTCACCTGTCACTATCTGCCACTTGTAGAATCATATGAGGCCATGCAGCATTTGAGTCTGAAAGAGTAGGAGAATTGTAGAGAAGGACAAGGCATACTCACTCTCTGGAATTGTGGTCGTTGGCAAGGAAGCTGTGACAAAGAGAAGAACATGAGACATTAGCATGCAGCTGTCACCTGGGATACGTTTGGTAAGCGTCCTGCCTCATTCACCTTCACCAATGATGGCCTCATGTCCTACTACACAGGTGCCCCACGTGCTCACTCCAGTCCTTTCATCTCAAAGGCATCTTTGCCTTGCACATGCGCACCACAGCTGGCACTTCAGTGCTGCCTCCACCCATATGTCCTCCATTGCAATGATATCATCACCTTTGCAGGGACACCCATGGGACCTGCACACACCCAGGGGACAAGCAGAAAGCTGCCCAAGACAACAGCCTCTTTCTGGGCAGCCTGCGTTCCACGTGGATCTTCGAGAAACACTAGGTAACTCAGTCATAAGCTCTGTCTGTCTCTCAGGGCAACTCCTGCCTGCCCTCCCTGTGTCCTTTCCCACTCCCCTCTCCCAGTTCCCAGGAATCCTAAGGGCATGATGGACATGGGCAGCTTTCCTCTGTGGGGCTGCAGTAGCACCCAGAATAGGAGCCACCAAGGGATAGAGATACTGCAGAGCACAGCACCCATGGGGCTAGACCCCAACAAGGATGCTCTCACCCATGGGTGGCGAAGTACTGCTGAGGGTTAACAACAATAATGAAAAATTCTCTGTTCCTTTTCCGTCCAGGAGGACCCAGAAAGACTCTACACTCCCACAACTTCCTATGGAATGCAGCCACTACCAAACACTGGACATAAGATGATTACACCAGTGTCACATAGGGAGGCTGATGTGGCTTCTAAGGTCGGTTGCCACTAGTCATGTTTGCACAAACACGACAGCCTAGTGGAATCACCAATGGAAATCGGCTTCCCTTAGCAAGGTCTGCCCACAATGGATCTTAGTTGAGATCCCCAAATGAAGTGGTAGGAACAAGGTAAGGGGTTCCAATCGGGGCAAATCCCAAGAGAAGCTAGAGGCCCACCTGAGCAGACAACACCTGCGTCTTCCCCATGTCCGCAGTTGTGGGACAGCCAGCCACGGTGTTTGCAGTCCCATAGGTACGACTCCTGCCCTGAGCAGGACACGTCATCCAGCACAATTGGTCCTGTGCCCTGGCCAAAACGGGCGTTTCCAGGGGCAGACACAGCATAGCCACAGCCCAGCTGCCTGCAGACCACGTTGCCATCGTTGATGTCCCAGCTGTCATCACACACGGTGCCCCAGGAGCCCTGGTACAGGACCTCCACACGACCTTGGCACTGGTCCTCTCCATTCACCAGCCTCAGGGCCAAATAAGTCTCTACAGGGAACACAGACAGGTCTCATTGAGGCTGTTTGCCAACAACAAGTTGAGCCTCTACGATTCGTGAATGGCCAAACCACTTCCCAGGAGTCAGGTCCCTCATGCAGGGCAACATCCACACAGACAGACACACAGAAAGTCACTTCCTGCTTCTCCGCCACACTGGAGACTCCTGCTCACAAGGAGTGCAACACTGAGGTTCCATGGAGACCACGTTGCCCTCCATCTCTCTGAGCCCACAACGTTCTCTTCTCACCTACAACACCTTAACCATCCACCCACTGTCAGTGTGCTACCTGGCTCATGGAACCTACGGCCCACCCAACATCCTCACAGGAGACAAGGGCAGTGGAGGAGCCACCCACAGGAGACTCCCTGCCCTCCTCCAGACATGCCCTCGGCCTCTTCTCCAAGCAGACAGCGCCCTGAACATCTGAGCGTATTTGAAGGGGCAAAAGACAGAGAAATCATGCCTGAACTAACGCTGACTCCAACAGAGGGTCAGAGGGTGTGCACCACAATCAGCAAGGTCATGTCCACCTTCAATACCAAAAGGCCAATGCCCACTGACATTTCTCTCAGCTTGCAAGAGTTGTCGATGATCAGGAAACCAGATTAGGTGATGCAGAATAAGGTGAGAAAGTCAGAAAAGCCAGAAGAGATGGATCACTTAAAGGCCACACAATGCACATGACCCAGCCAACACAGGCAATGGCATAGCTGGGCAGAGACCAGGTAAACTCCAGGGGAACACCCCTCAGAGCAGCAATCCCACAGGCAGACAGGGTGCAGAGTTCTGCAGGTGGAGGGCACATTCAGGTGCACTGAGGACCTCCTAGGGTCACAAGGACAAACCAACCACCAGAGCAAGAAGGCATTGGGAAGCAGCCAGAGACTCCTTACGGCCTTAGAGTGAGTGGAGAGCCCTCCAGTGGAACTACTCAACACCCACCTCACAGCCACCATCTGTCTGTCTAAGGGCTTCTAGAAACAGCTTCCATGCATACAATCAGCTGGCACAGTGACATCATCACATACAGGGGCCCTGATGCAGGACCTGCCCTGGGCCCTGAACCCACTCACATCCACTCACGACTCTCACTTCCACACTTGATATGTCCACTGGAGGAAAACAAAGGACACATCACCATTCCTGTCTTGAAGTGAAGGTCTCAAGCACATTGTGTTCATCAGGACATTACTGGTATCCAACCTGTTATGCCCTGTCACCCTTTGATACTTGTCCACATCTCTCTTCATTCCAGCGACAGGAGCAAGGACACCACGTCCTCCCAGGTCAGGATGCTAGGCTAGTGAAAGCACACATGATCTTGAGGCTGTGACAGGAGCTGGATCGGCAGGAACAGCCATGTGCACACCCAGCACAGAGCTCTGTACACACATCACAGCACCTGTGCACTCTGACTATGGGAGGAACCGTGGGGACAGCCGTAGGGGACTGTCCAGGTCTGGCAGAGTCCCAGGTCAGCCTTGGCAAATCACAGCCTGTTCCCTATTCCTGTAAGCCCTCAATCCACAGCCTCATAGGTAAGAAAAAGCCCACGTGTGATCACTGAGGTTTCCCATCCTGGACCTGTGATGGGGACCTTGCCTGAGCACCTGCACAGGTTCACACTGAACAAGGTCACCAGCCTCAAGGACCTGTCTTCAGAGGCCCATGCTCTCACCCACCCAAAGAGCAGCAATGTGAATGAGGGCCCACTGGGGGCCTCATCCTCTCATCAGCAAGCCTGGCATTCCTTCATGTTGACACAGTGATTCCTGGCAAGGCGGGACACTCACCTGTTGTGGTAAAATCTGGGGCCGTGGAAGGCCACGTTGCTGTAAAGGCAACAGGGAGAAAGGTAAGAGTTAGAGCTGAAGGCAAAGAGCCAAGATGAATCTCTCTGGATCAGGCAGATGTCTCAACAGTGGTACCTTCGCAGGTCCTGCCCCTTCCTCCCGGTGTCTGTTAGCAGCCTGAGCTCACAAGTATGGCCATGGCATTGGACATAGCCTCTGCTGGACACGCCTAGGTCCTCAAGTCCTGGATATTTAGAATATTCTCTCCTCAGGCTATAGCCTTTGCTGTCCTTCCTTCCATGTCTACTATCCCATGAATTGCATATTTCCACACTCATACTATGGAACAAACTTTGGGTACTGTTGCAAGTCACATAGGAAAGGTACATTAAACTGACTGGTTAGAACAAGTTCTGAAATATCCCTTCCACCTTTTCTTCCCCTGGCACTATGGCACCTCAAAGTCATGTTTTGATCTGCAATATCTGAGACAGAATATGTAGGAGCATTGCAAAAAGGACATGGTGTACTCACTTGGAATAGTTGCAGTTGTGGCCAAAGCATCTGTGACCAAGAGAACAACATGAGACATTAGCATGCAGCTGTCCACCTGGGAAACATGCTGTAAGCGTCCTGCGTCATTCACATTCACCAATGATGGCCCTCATGCCCCCTACACGAGTGCCCCACATGCTCACTCCAGTCCTTTCATCTCAATGGCATCTTTGCCTTGCACATGCCCGCCACAGCTGGCACTTCAGTGCTGCCCCCACCCATATGTCCTCCATTGCAATGATATCATCGCCTTTGCAGGGACACCCAGGGGACCTGCACACACCCAGGGGACGAGCAGGAAGCTGCTCAAGACAACAGCCTCTTTGCAGGCCAGCCTACATTCCATGTGGACCCTAGAGAAACACTAGGTCATGGGGCTCCATCATGGACCCTGTCTCTCTCTCTCAGGGCACCTCCTCCTACCTGCCATTCCTGAGTCCTTTCCCACCCCCCGCCTCAGATTCCCGGAATCCTAAGGGCATGATGGACATAGGGTGGCAGGATCACGCAAGATGGGAGCCACCCAGGAGAGGAGATGCTGCCACAGCCACATTACCCATAGAGCCCGACCCCAACAAGGACACTCACATCCTTGGAATTGAGGTTCAGCAATAACAGCATAAACTCTGTTTTTGTTTCCTTGCTGGGGATTCTGGGCAGAACCTGGTATTTGTGTCATTTCCAGGGAAATCCTGACAACTGTTACAGCATGGGTCAGATCCTGACCACATCACTCTATACCTGAGTCACCTTCAGACTCAAGCATGACTGCTCGGTGGGTCACTAGTGGTAGCCAGCTTGCTCAATCAAGTACCACCCACAATGGGTCTCTGTTCTCACTGATCTCTGAATGAAATGGTGGGGACAGGGTTAGTGGTTCACATCAGAGCACATCCCAAGTGAATCTGGAGGCCCACCTGAGCAGATGACACCTGCATCCTCCCCGTGTCCGCAGTTGTGGATGAGCCAGCCATTGTGTTGGCAGCTCCACAGGTACGACTCCTGTCCTGTGCAGGACACGTCGTCCAGCACAATAGATCCTGTTCCCTGGCCGAAGCGGGCGTTTCCAGGGGCAGATATAGCATAGCCACAGCCCAGCTGCCTGCAGACCACGTTGCCATCGTTGATGTCCCAGCTGTCATCACACACGGTGCCCCAGGAGCCCTGGTACAAGACCTCCACTCGACCTTGGCACCGATGTCCTCCATTCACCAGCCTCAGGGCCAAACCAGATGGGTAACCTAGAGGGAACAGAGCATGGTTCACTTCCCCCATCTGGAGGCTAAAGCTCTAAGGTATGTTCCATACTCAGGGGATTGCCATGGCCAAGGCCACCAGAGCTGCTGTTGTCCTTGACCTGTCAGGATTTCTCTTCATTCTAGTGACAGAAAGCAGGACACCATATTCTCTCATATCTGAAGACACATCAGTATGGGAAGTGACTAGAAGCACAGTGCCAATGATAGGAATACTGTGCCTTCCAGCTCTGGGCACACAGCACGGAGCTCTGCAGACACAACAGCATTAGACTGCATTCTTGTTCTGAAGAGTTTTAGGATATTTGCCTGGTCCCATCTGGAGGTGTCTATGGAAGCTGGATTTTGGCCAGATTGTACACCTCACACCCTTTCTGCATTCCTGTAATCCTAAATCCATGGCATCAGACACAAGGACAAGGTCACATGCAATCAACAAGGCCTCCAGCATCCTTCCTATCAGGACCCTCCCTGAGCACCTGCACAGGATCCCAGTGGACAAAATCAACAGCCTCAAGGACTCATCCTTCAGAGACCTGGTCTTGTACCCAGCCACCCACTGTCATCCTCGTCTTGTGGCCAGCAAGTCCAGTGTTCACTCAGAGCTAGGCAACGAGCCCGTGGCAGGTGGGGAGCACTCACCTGATGTATTTTCATAAAAGGATGTGCTGGGCCATGCATCTGTAAATAGCAGGAAGAAAGGCAGGAGTTAGCCTTGAAGGATAAGACCCAAGAACAAAATACTCTGGAGCAGCAGGTGGAATGATTCCCCCAGGTCCTGTCTCTTGCTCCCTGTCTGTCTGTTGAAGACACACACTCACTTGTACAGCCAGACATCACTGGTCCCTCTAGCTTTCCTCATATGGAATATTCTTTGCTCAAGCAAAACATTTTCCCTTCCCTGAAAGGGTGTGTCTGTAGCCAATGACCCATGGGCCACCATTGAAATCCAAGTACTAGGTGGAGCCAAGTCAGCAAGGGGCAGGCAGCATCAGCTTGACTTGGCCAGTGCTAACCTGATACTGGAATCAAGATCATGCATCCTAAGTATTTCAGACCAGACATTCCAGCTCTCCTCTATCCCTGGCTTGCAGTCCACATTCCTCAGGGAAGACCTCTTCCTGGTGGAGCAGAGGAACTCTTGGAATCACGTTTGTTTCAGAACTTGTGGTTCTCACATGAAACGTCAAGTCAAGAGAAATAGTGTGTCAACAAACCCTTGCCTGCACACTCCCCAGCTGGGAAACACAGGGCCGACTGGGTGCTCCCCTGGCTTTACAAAGAGTCCAAGAGAGAAGCAACCCTTGTCGCTTTCTCTGAAGACCTCACACTATTAAGCCACAAGGAGACCAACCCAACATGTGATTTCAAAACAAAAATGTATACGCCAAATTTGGTGGGTTTTATGGTTTCTAGGGCCAACTGAAAAGGCTTCTGTACATGTTGATGAAAGTCAAGGCAAGTTGAACTGGGACATGAAAGTCACCATGAAAAGGCAGACAAACAAAAAGATGTATGTCAACACACATAAGAAGGCCAGCCAGATTTAAGACATGCGTCAAAGGGGCTTTCTCGGCTTCCCCCACGACCCGTGTACCTTAGACCTTGAGCAAGGGAGGGACAGGACATGGAGCAGAAGTCCCAGCTCCATGAGCTGAAGCTGGATACCTGGGTGCACCCATGGGCAGCCCTGGGGTCAGCACCAACAAAGGCTGCTGACCGTGGACCCCAGCCAGAGAACACCACCCCCTCGAGAGGACGAACTCCACACACGTTCAGGAAAGACCAAGCTGGGCCTGATCACCCATGCCTGCTGAGTTGCCAAGGCTCCCTCTCTCAGGTAGTGGATGGCAATGGGACAGTGCAGGCTGCACTGAGGCACAAATGGTGCCATTGTGCCTTGTAACACATGGAGATTAGTCAAATCTCCCTGTCCCCTTGCTTCTGTCCCTGGTTGACCCACATGCACCAAAGACCTTGTTTGGCCCAGCTGCTCTTTCTAATACATAACAAAGTCCTAAGGAGACACCACCATGGAAGAATGAATAGGTTTTCCTCTTGCAACTTTTGTAAAGGTGAAAGGGTAGGAACTGTGGTAAGGGAGACAGTGGTATTAGAATAAAGCCAGATTCATCCTCAGCTCTACTGACATCTAAGTCCTGACTCATAGCGAGAAGGAGGAAGTTGAGGTCGTGGACCATTTCATGGACCAGAAATGCCTGGTGCACCAGCCAGCAGGCTTCTCAGCCAGTCCACCCCAGGGCAGGCCAGGGACCATGGTGGAGGTGGTTCTTGACCTTGTCCCATGGGAAACAGGAAGTGACTTCTCTTCCCAAAGCCCAGGCTTCCAGAACCTCAGGTTGTACTGACTGTCCCTCCTGAATCTTTCACCTGGGGTGTCCGCAGCTGGGAGGGAGAGGGGCTGTGGGATACAGGACCTTTGACACGCCAGCTGGCTCCGACGCCTTCCTGACAGCTCTAGGTTGAAAGTGAGCCCAGGAAGCCTGAATGGGCTCAGGGAAAGGGCATGGCAAAGATGGGGCAGATTTCACCTGCCTCTCCAGGCCCGACAGCCAGAGTTCTGAAGCAGTAAAAAGCCTGGGGGATCCAGCATGGGCTCCAGAACACCCTGGTGCCAGGCCACGGGCTCCACCTGAGAGAAGCTTCTTCAGGTCAGGCTGTGCCATCTCAGGGACATGAGTCGTGGAAGAGTCTGCTGCTCAGGGCTGAGGCTTGAATCAGAAGGGCCATCCTGAGGAGCTGGGGACAACTCCCGTGTGCTCCACTCCTCATCTGGGTTGGACATGCACGTAAGAGCCCACAGGGATTCCTCATGACAAACGTTACCTTCTGTCGTTGTCTCCTCAGGAGCCTCTGTGGGAGGCAATGAACCTGCAGAGTGCAGGGGTCGGAGGTCAGCCCTCCTTTAAATTCTGGTAACCCTCACACCCTCAGTGCTAAAGCAAGCAAGGGCCAGAACAGAGACCCTGAAGGTCCCCTCTGTGGCTAAATTGCTATGGCTTTTCCTTTTGAAATCCAACACCATGTCTCTGTGATTGTGCCAGGCTCTGGTCAATGCTAGCAAACTCCTGTGAGCATCCTCTGTGCTGTCACCCTGCTCAACCTCCTTGGCTTCATGAACAGACCCATCCCGGGCACCAGGCCAAACTTCCAAAGGTGTCTGACTGCTTCGACAGCTCAAACATACTGCCAAATGGCATATTGGCCATCACTGAAGGATTCTAAAGAGACACTCCAGAATGGCAGAATGAGCCCACTCACAGCTGTCAGTGTGGGGTGTGCTCCCTTGGAGGGGCAGGTGCCTGTGTGGGGTGTGTAATGGGGACAGGGGCATCTGAAAGCATCGGGATCACCTACTGTATGTAGCAGCATGCACAGTGTCTAGTCCACACAACGCTGCACATGCCAGCGGGTGCCTTAAAGTGAACACCTTACCCAGAAACTCCTCCTTGGGGTCAATGCAGAGGGTTGGTGACCTTGGAGAATTCATTGTGGATTAAGGGGTCCATTGGAATTTGAGCATCTGCCAACAGCACATGAATGTAAGAGGCACAGCACTGAGCTGCCAGAGCTGAGGTAGGGACAGTTGTATTTTTGTCACTGAGGGTGTGAGTGCCGTTTGCATGTCATTTAGTGGCCAATAAAGAAGACATATCGGTCGCCTTTGATTAGATCTTGGTATATACCTAAGTATGTAAGAACTCTAATCCCCATCTACCACTTGAGAGGATAATGTGTAATCTTCCTGGGATGGCCACGTGAGCAGCTGAGACTGAAACCTGAGCCCGGCACCTCCCAGTTTCAGGACAGCTGGCAGATCCCTTAGAACCTCGGAACCTGAGCACCTGTGCGTGAGCAAAAACCCAGTCACCTGTGCTCTAACCCCGAATGAGGCGTGGCTTGCAGCAGAGTGAGAGCAGCCAAGCTCGCGTGTGCCCATGCACATGCACGCATGCCCACATGTGTGAGCCACCGTGTTGACTCGACCAGCACCTGCCCCCAGACATACACAGGTGACAGCGCAAAGCAGTACATGCACTACCTGAACACACGACTCCGGCATCTTCCCTGTGGCCACAGTCGTGGTTGTACCACCCATCATGAGGGCAACTTGACAAATTGGGCTCCTGTCCGGAGCAGTCCACAGCACCCAAGAGAATGTTCCCTGAGCCCTGACCAAAGTGAGCCCCTCCAAGGGCAGACACGGAATGGCCACAGCCAAGCTGTCGGCAGACGACATCTGCATCCTGGCTGTCCCAGCTGTCGTCACACACGGTGCCCCAGTAGCCTTGGTACAGGACCTCCACCCGGCCCTGGCACTGGTCGGCTCCGTCCACCAGCCTCACAGGCAGACCTGCATTGACACAGCGGGAAGTCCTCGTCTTTGCTGTCACTGCCCGTTGACTCGCATGGCCACACGCCTCCCCCTGCCCCGCCTCTGGTCACCACCCGCCATCTCCTTCCATGAATTCCCCCTGGGGACCTGGGGTATCAGTGTCTTTGCTCTCTTCTCACTTGCCCTTTGCTCCCTAGAGAACCTCATGGGGCTCTGGGTACTTTGACTCAGAAGACACCCAGACCCACGCCTCAGGTCCTGGCCCAGCCCCAGGTCCAGAGCAACATTTCCATGCCCCCCTAGGTGTCTGCAAACACAACCCCAGGCTTTGTGTCAACTGTGGTGGAAATCTGAGTGTTGTATGTGATGCTTCCTTCCACCTCTGGCTTTACCCACAAGGTCATTGTTGCCTTTTGCTCCCATTTCACCAGGTTCAACCTTCATTCTCTTGTGCCTGACCAACTCCAGGGCCACCCAGTTTATCTCCTGCTGCCTCTCCTTTTTCTAATCCATCTGCATCCATTGACTCAACCCCACTTCAGGGGTACTGGTTCCATGCCCATGCCAGTGCCCGTAGGGCTTATTTTGCTACCCAGCAGCCTCCAAGTTTTATCTTTCCAAAGCGCAGATGTGTTCAAGTTACTTCCCTGTTCAAAATGCTCCAGCTTCCATCAGGGTCAAGTCCAGGACGCTGTTGTCCATGAACAGGCCTGCCTGCCCTGCCAACCTCCCTTGTGGGAGAAGATTCTCCCTGTAGAAGTGACCACAGCTGGGAAGTTCATTGGCACCATTTGCCTGTCCAACATGATGCCACCAAGTTACCCACTGGTGAAAAGCTGTGCTAGTTCTGTAAGAAATGTAGGCCGTGAATCTGCAGGGGTCTAGCCTGTGGAAGCCAGATCCTGGCTGGGGCTTTTCAATGGTTACCTTGAAATCTTAAGAAATCACGGGCAGCGAGTGAGAGGTTGGACTGGGTGGGGGTAAGGAGGGACATTGGTGTTGCATGGACGGGAGGAGAAGCAAAGAAAGTGGAAGGAGAAGCAACTGGACCATCTCCAGGCTCTTCCAAAGGTATATTCTGGGCCTCCTCAGGCCTCTTTGTTGCCCTCTTCTGGTGCCTCCTTTTCTAGAACTTTCTATCCCTCTGCCTCAGCCTGTTCTTTGTCCCTCCTGTTCACTCCAAGCCACTGTCCTGGAAGTGGTGGAACTAGCCTCAACCCTAGCAGAGTTGGCTGTATTTAGTGCACATGCATAGGTCCCTAACATTCCAAACCTGGACACAGAAGTCGGCACATGCTCACTGCAGACCGTGGGAAGAGCTCTTCGGGGAAAGTTGTGGACAGGGGGAAGGCCCTTGTCTTGGGTGCAGCTCTCTTCCTTGCTGCCAGCCACCTGCCCTTAGACCTAGATACATTGAATTGCTGAAATACGCCCTATTTGCAAAATGGGCATAAAGCAGTATTGTTGGGAAAAGTTCATAATAACAGGATACATCCAGTGGTATTTTCAATGTTCTATGTATTTAGTCATTTGATGAATGAAAATAATTTTGTGAAGGATATATCACAAGTATTTGGCAGCTGGTAACTACTGAATCAGTGACTGCCATTTCTATTGAGAAGAGTATTGACTCTTTAAACTGTCTCTCCTGACACCAAGTTGAAGCTAATTTCATCTCAAGTGTGACTAGGAAGCAGAGAGAAGGAGGGATAACGAGAGATAAGATTCTTTGTGTGCCTCTGGACTATGCCCAGGTTCTTGGCACCCGCATGCCTCATCCCTGTTCTATCCCTGCATCCTATAAGGCAGGCATTTCTCTACGGCCCCAACTGGCCAAATGCAACAGAATGGGCCAGACCAGCCATTGACCAAAACCCTGAGAGGAGGAGGAAAGAACGAGAAGGTCTTAACCATAATATGTGGCGTGTGGGCTCCACTGATCTATAAAGAAATCAAGTTCATCTTAGAAAACAAAGGTCTTCCCATTAGAGATCATTGCACAGAACTTGGCTCCAGCTGTACCTTACAGCCATGTCACAAGGCGCTGAGGCTCAGTCTTGGCTTGGTGCCCCCACAATCTTGCTAAGAGTCACCGAGCTGGCAGATTACAGCAGTGGGGTGGGATTAGAGGTGCTCAGTGACTCATTACAATCAACACAGATAGACGGCATGTCAAATCTGGGGGCATGTCTCCTGTCGCTGTCATTGGGGATTCTCAGCCAAGTGCCACTTCCTTATTGACACTGCAAACACTAAGGTGTAAATGGATGGCTTCTCACCCACAAGTGTGGTCCTAGAGACCTGCAGATTCCTGAGCTCCACCCTCCAAGCCAGGGCAGGGTAGGGAAACAGAGGTGGACCCCAAGAATCTGCTCTCAAACAGCTTTTCTGGCTGGTTCTGGCATGCACTGCGGTTTCAGAGATAAAACTGCAGGACACTGGAAGCGTGTAGGTCATTTACGCTATAGCTGGGAGAAAGCCGAGCGGGCTCCACGCAGTTCTCACACCATCCACTGAAGTTGCTCAAGGTAGCAACTATTCTCAAGCTACCGATAACTGTATCGGGTCAAAAAACGTCAAGTACCAAATAGCACGCTGTATTTTTTCCAAATACTTACCAATAAAATCTCCAGTAGTAGATTCTGTGAACAAATAAAAGAGAAGTCAGGTCAGTGTGTGTTCCACCATGGGACTCACCTCCACAAACCTACATTTGATTCCATCCAGTCACCCTGACACAGAGGCACAGCAGCTGCACCCCGATCAACAGTTAGCACTCAAGGTCAAGGGCACTGACCTCTGAGCGAGGCTGGTCTAAGACCTTGCCAAGCTGCTTCCCAGAACTCAAGCTAACTCGATGCACCTCCTTTGTTACCTGTCTAAAGAGCAAAGTGCATAGAGACAGCAGTACCATCAGCACTCCATGTCTGCAGGCTTCACATTCGGGAACTCAACCAAGAGCAGAGCAAAAATGTCTAACAAAAAAATGTCATCTTGAGCCTGGTGCAGTAGCCTAGTGGCTTAAGTCCTCACCTTGCATTCACTGGGATCCCATATAGGCATCGGTTCTAATCCCGGTGGCCCTGCTTCCCATCCAGCTCCATGCTTGTGGCCTGGGAAAGCAATCGAGCATGGCCCAAAGTGTTGGGACCCTGTGCCTGCATGGGAGATCCAGAGAAAACTCCCGGCTCCTGGCTTCAAATTGGCTCAGCTCTGGCCTTTGCAGCCACTTGCAGAGTAAATCAGCAGACGGAAGGTCCTTCTGTATCTCCTTTTCTCTGTAAATCTGACTTTCCAATCCAAATAAATAACTTTCAATACCATGTAGGGATTTTCCTTGTCATTGTTCCCTAAGCCATGCAATGGTGTGGAATGTGTACAGAATAGCATACATGATGAGCAATCAAGCGATACCTCCAAGGACACAGGGGATGTGGGTGCGCCTGTGGACAGTGGCGTCCGTGGGGGCTCCTGGCACCAATCCCCGTGGACCTGGGGCATATCTGCCTGCAGTAATAGAGTTCAGTCCTCTGGCTCCTGACAGAGAACTTGGCTTCCCGTTAATCAGATAAGGAAGTACAAGTTCTGCTCAGAGCTGGCAGGAGCGTGTCATGTACAGGTGAGTCATGGCCTTGCCCTGGATTCGGCTGTGCCCGCGCTGGGCACGGGACCAGGAGGGCTGCCAAGCAGGGTCAGCGTGAGCCAGCACACTAAGTCCTTAGCGATGCAAAGTGCCAAAGCCAGGTACTAAGTGCAAAAGGCAAGAGCAGGGAGCTTAGCGCAAGGAGCCAGGGCTGGCGCAGATGCCAGCCGGGAGAAGAGTGGTGCCTGCCACACGTGCTTGTGCACATGCCATGTACATGCGTGCTTCTGCATGTCTTCTGCGTGTCTGTGCTGGTGTGAGGGAAGTGCAGTGTGTGAGAGAGACAGAGGTATGATTGTACACGAGCCTGCCCACACGCAGGCATCTGTGTGTGTGAGTGTGTGGACCTCTGGTTGTGGCTCACGGTGAGTGTCTGTGTGAGAGGTATGGCTGTACATCAGTGTGTGCATGGTTATATGAGTGTGTCCACATGTATGCATCTATCATGTGTGCCTGTGTGGCACTCAGAAACAGTGACTCCGTTTAGCCAGGAGGAGGCAGGAAAGAGCTGGGCTGCTCCAGGATGGACAGCGTGAACAACCTGACTGTAGCCAGATTTGTTGGAGAGTGGGAGGTGGGAAGCATGAGCCATCTCGAGAAAACAAATTAAAACAGAGCTAGAAAACAGCCTGGAAGATGCAGGGCGCGGAGTCTCAGGGGTGGTCAGTCAGACTGTGCGGAGGCCACGGGATGTGGTCACACGCACACCCTGTCCACCCGGGGCCAGCAGCAGCGCTGGCTGCGGTCCTGAGACCATTCCATAAGCGCTACGGACAGAGCCACCTGCTGTCCAGTGTCGGGACTGCACAGCACAGAGGAATTGACGTAGGGCCACCCTACAGGGCAAGGGCAAGTGTGTGCCTGAACAGCCTGCCTCCCCAACGGAGGTGCCACCCACTGCCAACTCTCCCCCAATGCCTGAGAGTCCCCGCTTCGACTTGCTCCCTCCTCTCTCGGCGTTAATGACCGCCAGAACCCCAGGTACATGCAAAAAGGACTCACAGTCCACCAGCAACTCCCTTCTAAGCAGTGCTATTTTCTCGGTCAGTAAAACTTTGTGCTTGATGAAAACAACGCCTTTACATGGTGTACCAGGGTTTGTCAGAACCAACCAACCAACCAACACTGGCCGTTGCTACTGATCAGCGCAGTACCTTGGTATCACAGCACCAAACTCCAGGTTTTCTTGCATTTCATCAGCTTTCCTTGCTGTCCCAGGAACCATACACTTTCTGTCTCAGTGTACATAAGAAGTCAGATATGGGGAAAACTCGCAGAACAATTGTAATGCTGAATAGTTCTGAGGCTCTTTCTCTGCCAGACTCACCCACCCCCTGCCTGGCCTGAGAGACTGCAGCATGAACCCATTTACAAACTGGACCTTGCAGGGACTAGCCGAGGCTGGCACAAACCT